AAAACAAAGTGAATATTATTAAAGAATTTAAGAAGTTAGAAGGTAAAAATGAGTGAAACAAAATTATTTAATCTGGAGGGAATTTATTTTCCTATTTCTTCAGTTCTCTGGCATTTTATGAGAGGGTGGATGAAAGTAAAAGATACAGGAACTTTCACAGCTGTCTTCAGTAACTGATTTTTGGAAATCCTTTTATATTTTATATATATATGTGCAGCTGCCAACTATGGTGAAATTATTCAGCTTGCCGACTTAAGTTGTGTTGTGTATGCCAAAGTCGATCAGGACTAACCCGGCACATTAGAGCAGAGGGAAGCCATGTTACATCTGTGAGAAAGTGACTGAAGTTGAGATGCCAAGTCTGGATTGATTACCTTTGTATTTTGTCAAAAATCTCAAGATGAGTAGCAGGGGCTCCTGACCAGATATGGCAACAATATTCAATATACAGATGAATGGTAGATTTGTAAGTGTGCAAGGTGGACTCTGATGGGGAAAAACCTTTTGGCATGACACAGTAACCCAACTTCCTTTGCCGTAGATGCAGCTATAGATTCAATGTCGTCATACCGCTTTGTCAGTTGAAAACGTGAAGCCAAGAAGGTGCAATGTATTGCTCACTACGAGTTTAGCATCAGCCATGCTGATGGTGGGCAGGAAAGTTTCTTGATGGTGATTAAATGAGAGCAGTTTAGTTTTGGAGGCACTGAAATTTACAAGCTGTTTCCCACCCCAGTTAACCACTCTGATGGATTTGCTATTGAAAAGGGAGTAAATGGTAGTGTCATCAGTATAAATGCCTACTTGTGAACTGATGACATCAGGAAGATCATTGACGAAGATCAGGAACAGCATAGTACCCAGGATAGAGCCTTGAGAGACACCTATGCTAATGTGAAAGGATCTGGAAGTGATCCTGTTCAAAACGACCATCATTTTGTGTTTTGATAGGAATGATTGGATTAAATCAAAAACTGTGTCAATACCTTGTCCAGCGATTTACAAGGTATTGAGACATTGTTTTACGAAGACCTTATTTGTTAAAACAATTTAAAATGATGGGTGAATTCCTTTTTATATAATTAAGTACATGGTAATCTTAAAAATGTTGGAAAATATTTTCCATAGTCTAATTTTGGGAATGTTGAATTTAAATTTAGTATAGTCAGCGCTCTTATTTTCTGATTATGTCATGTATGATTGACCATACTTTCAAATGGGCATGTTACGTATACATTAAAAAAAAAAAAAAAAAAAATTCTTTTAAAAATATTGGTGCAAGCTGAATTTTATTCAGCTTTTCAATTTTTGATTTGTGAATTTAGTTTCCACTTAATTACAATATCACTTAACCAGAATGAAGTAATGCATAATTTTAAATTATTTATATTATTAAAATTTAAAAAAAAAAAAAAAAAAAAAATGAACCAATTATTGTAAAATTTATTTTTTCATCAAAAAAATTCTTTTTCTTAAGACAATAGTCTCCCTAATACCTCTTATTTATAGAAGCAATTAAATAATTCCAAATAATTAAATAGTTCAGTTTTATTGCATTTTTCATTTTACCTAGAATTTCCAAATCAATGTGTTTTTCACTGGAGAGAAAAAAAAAAACACTAATTGTAATTATGTCAACTGCTAACATAAAATTTTTTTTTTTTTTTTTAACCAACATGTTTTAAAGTGGTAAAAAGGGTTAAGAAAATACTTTGGTATTCATCTTAAACATTTTGATGATCAAGCTTTGTTTGTATTAAGTTTGGGAGCTTTTTTTTCATTCTATGCTGTTTTTCAGCAAAAAGTGTGTGTATAATATATATATATATATATATATATATATATATATATATATATATATATATATATAATTTTAGGAACCTCCTTAAAAAAAAAAAATTTTATACCAAAAGTTTAAGATGAATTTTCAAAAAAAAAAAAATCTTTTTGAACTGTTTTATTTTAGTTCTAATTTCAAGCTAATAGATTATATTTAATATCTAATAAGGAAAATAATTTTCTGATTTTCAAAAGAAATGCATATTTTTTATCCTGACAGTATTTGTGCTGACAGATCTAATGTTGTTCTATGGAGACATTATCTGTAAAAAAATAATTGAAGAAAGTGATGGGAGCACCTTTTTCATATAATTTTTAAGTAATTTTTATCGGTAATCTTAAAAATTCAGGAATATATTCTGTAATGTTTTAATGAATTTTAGAAATTTTGGCTTTAAATTTACTATAGTTATTGAGCTTCTTTTCAGATAATGCTGTGATTGGTTGCCAGTACTTACAATAATCGACATGTTCATATACATACAAAAAAATTCAAAATTTAAAATATTGGTATTTGATGGTTTGTATTAAGCTGTTTCACTTATGATTAATAAATATAGTTTTCACTTAATAATATCATCTAAATGTTGAAATTGATATGGAATTTTAAGATTTAAAATTTAAATTTTTCTTTTTTTTTTAAAATTTAAAAAAAAAAAATGAAAAAATCTTTATGAAAATTCATTGTTCATCAAAAAAAAATTTTCTTGAGACAATAGTGTCCTTCATATATGTTGTATATAAAGACAATTAAAAGCTTTTGTAATTAAATAATGCTATAGTTTTATTGCATTTTTTTAATTTTACAATTAAGAGCAGATTTTAGTTAAATGGTGTTTCTGCATTGTGGATGGTCTATTTTACTATTCTAACAGTTATTTTTGTGGGTGTTAAGTTTCTAATTCTTCTGTGGGCTATTGAGTAGGGGGAAACAAACGTGTGTGTGTGTGATTAATACAAATATAAAGTTTGCCACTTAGCTGATTGATGCTATATTCAGCATCTCAACTCCAGAATTTTGTAGATCAACCAGCAATTGACTGCTGTTTTTCTCAATTTTTCTTATTTTTATACTAAGTTTGATTTGATTAGTTTATGCACTAGTTGGGAGCTCTTATGTCCATTCAAATGTCATGGTTTTTTTTTTTCATCTGTTAAATATTCCTATCCTTTTATTTTCTTTGTTTTTAAAAAGATAATGTAATAGTTTTATTTTTGGGATGAAGATATATTTTATAAAATGTGTTTTTTATTTTTTTTTGGGATGAAGATATTTTTTTTTTTTTTTTTTTTTTTTTTTTAAATTACTACTTAAATAGCAAAGTAAACATTTGTTTGCACTTTTCCATTTATTTCATTTTTCTTATTTAGTTTATGGTTTGAAAAATTAATTATTTGTACTTTTTATCTGTAGGCATAGTTTGCAGTTTTTGCTGTTAATTCTGTATGGAGTGCCCCTATTTATAATTTCCCATTTGATTTTGGTGGGGATATCGTTTTGTTTTTGAGGCCATATGTATTTTGATGGGGTTGTGTTGGTGTAATTTTTGTCAGAACATTTTGTCGTTATCTTTGGTTTAGTTTTTTTCTGTAGCACCTATATAAACTTTCATCTTTGTAAGTGTTACAAATTAGAGTAGTTTTGTATATTATGTTATTGGTTAAACATTTGTTATTAAGTGGGCAATTTTCTTTGTTTCTATAATTACATTTGATTGTATTATTTTACTAATTGTTATTGATGTTAAGGGTTCCTGTTGTTGTTGTTGTTGTTTTTTTTTTTTTTTGTTTTGTTTTTTTTTGTGCTTATTATTTTTTCCATGTTCTCCATGCAGCTGTAACTGATTTTGATTGTATCTTTATTGATAATTTTTGATAACTTGGTCTTTTTAGGGAAATGATTGTCAATATTTGAGGAATATTTTGCCTATAAGCTTGATCCTGTAAATATAAAGCTTTTTCTTTGTCAAATCAAATTTTATCTTAATTCTTCTATATACTTTAATCATCAGTAGATAATTTACAATACTTAATCTTACTTATTATAAAACGCAGATTGTGTGTGTGTGTGTGTGTGTGTGTGTGTCTGTACGTTTATATATGGGATTGTATTTCCTACATTTTTCAACCGATTTCAATAAAACTTCACGGGACTGCTTAAAATTACCCTGCGGTGGTTCTGACAGCGCCAAAAATTGGAAAAACACAATTGTTTTTGCACAAAATCAATTTGAAAACATGATAAAACACGATTCTGTCGCCAGAATAAAAGGGGGACAACTCATATCGAGTTTTACTTATTATAAACACCAGGCTGTTTGTGTGTGTGTGTATGTTTATATATGGGAACCAATTTCAATAAAACTTCACTTTTTTTTTTTTTTTTTTTTTTTTGGCAGGTAGTGTTTCTTATTGTCTTGCACATTGTTTTCTTTATTTTTACATTCAGAATGCTTTAAAAATTCCATTTACAAGACAATTGTTTATAATAAAATTCTATTCAATCGGTAGACTCATAACGATTGAAAACAATGTTTTTGTTTGAGTTTGGGTTTGACCAATTCGTAAAAAAAGAAAAAAAAAAAACTAATTAAGACATGCGTGTCCGTCAACCTTAAACAATAATCTTTGTCAATTTTATTTTTCAGTCTTTATGATGGTTGATACTTGATCTATCTCTTACTGTTACATCCCCGGGCAAGATTGGAGAAACTTTTGATATGAAAATTATATGTACACTTTGAATGACCAGATATTTGTGAAAAGTTGTTTACATATTAACAGCCAAATTGAGTATGCATGTCAGAATGGAAAGGCATATAATTAAAAAAAAATATTATTTAATACTACAAAAACTTATAGGTGTTAAAAATAAAATAAATCAGTTTTGAAAATGTACCAAAAATCAAGTAATTGGATTTTGGTAAAATATTTGGTACTTTTATAATAGTCAGAAGGAGTAATCACAAATAAAAAACCAGGTGCACACACCAGAAATTTCAAACGGGGTGAACAATGTGTGTGTTATATATTATATATCCAATGTTTATATTGCTAAAACCATAATTTTACATCAGTTATTCTTATTTTAAACAGCTATAACTTTCTGAAACCTAACCCTTATATAAATGGAGGTTTTTCTTTCCTTTTTTTTTCTCCAGCTGATATCATCTCTTGTGTTGAATTCAACATTGATGGAGAACTCCTGGCCACAGGTGACAAAGGAGGCCGTGTTGTCATTTTCCAGCGCGATAAATCTGTAAGTGAAAATAATTTTATCTTGCACTCTATTCTGCTTTCTCTATCAATGTATAATATTGACTCTTATTAATTTTGCAGGGTCTCAAATGGCTACTTCCCTTTCTTAGACCCTCCCCCATCCTGTACACTCCCAGCCACTATTTCTTCATAGAGTATTCAGTGTCAAATTTATTTTGTCCTTCAACCATAAAAATGTTAAATAATTTTGGCACTGATTACAGAGTCCCCCCACACACATACACTTTAAAAAGGGTTTTAAAAAAATCTCTGGCTGATCTCTAGTGTAGTCTTTGCATTTATTCTCTTTCATGTGTAAATCTTAAGCATTTCTTTTAGTAATCTCTGCTACTTTATACAGCACTTAGCTGCAAGTTACTGACTATGCTGCATACCAGATGTCTACATTGGCATTTCATTAATAAATGCATCTATTATTTTCAGTTTTAGTGAAATTTGATCTTCACTTAAATGTTGCTTATATTCCCTATTTCCACTGATTTCCTTTCACTCTCCTTTTTTGCTATTTTTAAAGAATATGTTACTGTCTTTTTTTTTTTTTTTTTTTTTTTTTTTTTTTTTTTTTTTTTCTTTTCTGTTTTTATGATTTTGCATTTGATTTTTCATGTTTTTCTTTGCAATCTGTTTTGAATTAAGAATTTTTCTGTAAAACCTTGTCAATACTGTTTTGATTGTATAAAACTAAGCTTTCATTAACTTGTTCAATCATACTGCTTCAATATTTTTTGTTTTGAAAAAGGAAAAACAAAAACCTAAAGGCATGTAACATTCTCTGAAATTTAAAGAAAGAAAAAGGTGGGGGGAGTATTAACTAGAAATACCCATAAAAATTCCACAATCCTAAATTTGAATGCTGGTCATTATTTAAAGAAGAGGATACAAATGAAATGATTTGAAAGTGATTATTCCATTTCATTGAAACGGATCTTTCATTTTCTCACTGAAACCAAGTAGCATCTCTGATATGTCTTTTCCGGTTTTCCACACTATCAAAACAGAATAGTCCATTATGTATGAGGTATTGGCAAGGTATAATGGTCATGCTAAGGAAGGAACAAGCAGAAATATAAGATATAGCAAGTATTATTATTTTTTTTTTTTTTTTTTTTTAATTGCTATTTTGCATTAACTTAAAATGTTCTGATAGTTTTAAAATATAACTTAAAGTTAAGCCTATGTATATTTTGATATTGATATATTTTCTTAACTATGAAGTTCTTGATCTGATACTCTTTTCAAAGTGCTGGATGTGTGCTTAATATAAGAAATCCTTTAGAAAAAATTTACATCTTAGAGGCAAAAAATATTTTTTTTTTTTTCTTTCTTTCCTTTTTACACTAGTGAAAACATTTGTTACAAGCTGGGAAGTTGTTTGATTTTTAAATCCTTTGCTTCTCAGTGGAACTTAGTAAATGCTATGATATTAAAATTGCAGCATCTAAAACAGTTGAAGATTTTAAGGAACAGTCATTTTAAGGATAAAAAATTTGGTCTTAAATGTTGATACTAATGTGTTATTAGTGGCAATTTACAGGGCTGATACATGCTGCAATTGCCTTGTCAGATCATTGAGGTTTGTTTGGAAAGTATCCAGCTCCTTTGAATACATTCAAAACTTGTTGTACAGTCTTGAGTAACTTGTCAATCCACTGGTGGAGACCTAATTGCATATGTGAACATATATTCTCTACTAAGGTTCATCATTTAACTGAACTTTTCTTGTGTAACCATTACACTCAGATGGGAGATATATATATATATATATATATATATATATATATATATATATTATATATATCAACAAATATCAACAAATAGTATTTAGAAAAATATGAAAACATATCTGAAATCCTAATGGATGAAACATGTCACAAAAAAAAACCTTCCAGTTTGTCACATTTTCCTAAATATATATAATATGAGGTTTTGCTTGAAACTCTTGAAATGATTTAAAAAGGACTTTAGAAATGTTCTGATGAGCTAAGCCCACAAAACATTATTTTGGTGTTGATAATTCAAACTTAGCCTAGAATCTGTTTAAAGATCCACATTTTGGAAGACTTTCAACCAACAGAACATAGAAATGTTGAATATTTATGGACAAAGGTTATTGTTTATTGACAGTACAAGAATGAACTGGTAGGCATCAAATCATTCTGAATAATCCCATCCTTTTTTTTTTTTTTTTTTAAATACTGCATGACTTTACTCTTTCCTCATTTGATGCCACATTCAATTTTTTTTTTTTTTTTTTTTTTTTATTCATATTAAAATGGTTACATCATTTCTGGAAGGGTCTTGTACAGGAAGATTAACTGCTTGCTGAGCTCTTTTTCTAATACTGGCACTTGTAGCATATGAGTAAGGGAAAAAAAAACTGTCACAGATGTGTAGCAGAGATTAGTTTTTTTTTTTGTTTTTTTTTTTTTTATTTGTGGCCATAAGCATGAAAGTGACATCAAGGTGCAGGGTTTAATGTCTTTGGATTCATTAAACCGCGCTTAAGTTTTCCCCAGTCAGGAATGAACTTCTGAAACAAGATAACTGACCACTGCATCATACTGACTATTCAATTTATTAAAAAGGATGACCTTTATACAGACTAGAAGCAGTACAAAAATATTTTCTTTGCACTAATATATATATATATATATATATATATATATATAATATCAAAGTATATAATTGGTATATACGGAATGAATTCCAATAACCAACAATTACTATTCTTAAAAGAGTGCTCAATACAAAGTAGAGCAGATATAATTATTTTTTATAAAAAAATTATAACATAAGTATGTTATAAAATCACTACAAAAATAGCCATTTTGTTTCAACATACTCTGTGTCTTATTAAGTGATGTTGAAAAGAAAAAAAAAAAAAAAAAATATATATATATATAATTATTTTTTTAAAAGTATGATTCCATTGTTACATATGGGAAAAGTAAATTTCGGCATTTTTCTGAAAAACATTCCAAACACAAACGGAATTATTTCGTAAAACTTATGCAAAAAAACAGGAATTAATAAGAAGGATGAACTTGTGTAGTGATGGAATCATATTTTAAAAAAAAAATAATTATAATTCAGGCTCTACTTGTGTATTGAGCACGGTTTTTAAAAATAAAAACAAAAATACTAAAGAACTTCCGATTATTAACCTAATGGTTCTTTCCTATTTTTCTATATATTTGCACACATATATAGTTGGTGCAAGGGTCTTGTGGGGACCTCCCCATCGAATCTATGATACCGCCACTCAACTACATCTCAAGTTTCATAAGGTACTTGTAGTCATTATCCTCCCTCCTTATTCCCTTTCTCCTCTCTGATGGTGGCAAAGATGGCTGTGAAGAGGACTTTGATGGGGTTATTTGCCTGAATATAATATGATGGAGAAACCCACATACTTGGCCAGAAGTGCCTCACTCGTGGCATAAGGGAATTGAGACAGATGAGGTCTGGCAAACCTGGTTGCACTAGTCTATCAAGTTCCACCTTGGTTATGCCAGCCCGACTGTCACTGCCCTTTTCCACTAGATTGGCCATTGAGAGAATGTGCATCTTTGCCTATTCTGTTGTTGGGGTCTTTGGAGATTGGTTGCATTCAGTCTGGTGACTTCGCTCTTGGGATCACTGGGGCATACAAGCCTTCTACCATGACAAGAAACAACTATATATATTTCCGACTGAATGTCGGAGTGAACAGTTCATTATCAAATGTGTCATTTTGACTTATTACTTTAATGACAATAATAGAAACGAATCAATAAATAAGAAAAGAGTAAGAGTATAAAATTATCATTAAATAAATGAAAATCATTTTTATTATTGTTGTTAATAAAAAATATGTGAAAGATAAATAAAGGATGAAATTCACTATTGAACCAATAGTTTAAAAAAAGTAAAAAGAAAATAACATGACTTGAAATACTTTTCCTAAAAACTCAATGTGTCTTTATCCGAAAGAAAAGCTTACTGCAATCAATAAATAAAAGAATAAAATTATCAGCAAAATATGAATGATAAATCATAGAAATCAACAATACAGAACCAACAGTCAGATATCAACAAAACAAACATTACAAGTTGAAATGCATTTCCTACAATTTTGAAAATGACATCCTCTTTCATAAAAAAAGAAGTTACACTTAAGCATAAATATAGATATAAATATAAATTATTCATATTCATGCCAATACATAAGGTAATATTCATATAAAATACAAATTTTTTATTGTAAATAAATACAATATATCTAAATACAAATTTTAGATATGCCATGATAGATCATTTTATCTTAAATATTTTGTGACAATTTTTAACATTAACTTAAGATTTTTCTTGTTAATTAATTTAACACGTACAACATTATGGATAAATAGTCAATTTTACATAGTTTTTTCTGAGACTTAGTATAAGCAAAACAAATTCACAGATTTGGACACACTTCCACAGAATTATGCCAAAATCTGCAAAAGATTTTCATCATTTAATAGTCAATTGTGCTTAATTAGTTTAATTTGTAACATATATAAATTTAAATAGAAAAATGCACATGTTAAGATAGTTAGGGTCACAAATGACTGCCCAAGGCCCCTAATTAGGCTTGACAGGTTAGAAGGGTTCAGGGTTAGTATGCACGAAGAATGTATTGAGTTATTTTACCTTTGGACAGCTTGGGGTTGGTTTGATTTTGTGATCAGTTATAAATTTAACCTTTTTTTTTTTTTTTTTTTTTTTTTTAATAGCAAATCTCTCTTGATACTAGTTTACTTTTTAGCTCTCATTAGCCCAACTCGGTTACTTTTTAAATTAGAATAAATGTTATCTAAGGGTGGTGTTTTTTTTTTTGTTTTTTTTCTTGTAATAAGAGTAAAGTTTCTTTGGAGCGACTCTATAAAGATTTATTTTTGAATAAGCATGAATGAATTTGCTAGTATAAATTATGATAAAACATCAAATTAGAATTTCTTA